TCTTTACGATAAAGTCGGAATAAATTATCTTTGCATTATTATCCGAGTGTGAAGTTTTAACATATTTTTAATGAACCAACGGGATTTCTATCCGTTCCATTTGGCTTGAGGTGAGGACTGTTGTAGCTTGGATGGCGGTATTGAATAGATTGCCTACTAAAGCTCGGCTCATTGGGTTACCGATTAGCGGGGCTTGTGAATTTTGTTCGAGTGCTTTGCAGACGAGGGACCATCTGTTTTTTCACTTGTGGCTTCTCTAAGAGTGTATGGACAGGGGTTTTGTGGTTATGTCTTCAGGCTAGGCCTGCTTTGGATTGGGGGATGAGCCGCGTTGGGCGTGCTTAAGTTTGAAGGGTAAATCCTTTAGGTGTGCTCTGCTGCGGTTGGCGTGGAATTGCTATGTTGCTTTGGTTTGGAGGGAGCGTATAGGACACTTGATGATATGAGCTCTTCGTCGGAGAGTTGGTTGATCGGAATAGGGAGACTGTCCGGTTAAAGCTCAGTGGGTTGAAGAAGCTATAACGTGGGGCTGATTGTAGATCTCTCTGTGATATTTGGGGTTTGGATTGATTTGCTGGTTCAGTTGCTGTGTATAGCTGTTTTTGTTTCGGCTTTTTAGTGTTTGGGGGGTTGTATATGGTTTCACTGGTGAAATAAAAGCAAATTCATTCGTTTAAGTGGTAAGTAGTTTGATATCATTTAAGCAATATCTCATGTTTTAGATCTTTTGTACGTAGAAAATCCCCGATGAAAGACTCATTCACCAAAGTTAGATTTACGATCCGGTTCGATTTAGATTAATCATAATGAATCCTTAAACTAGAGGGTAAAAAAAAAAGTCATTAGAATGGACAAAAATGAGCATGGGTCTGGCCCAAGGGATGAGTATGAAATCAAGCATTTTGTGTGGACAGCAGCTTAAAATAGGGTAAATGGGTTTTAAGGGCTTGAATTCATTGGTTCATATGCGCCACTAAACTCAAAAAACTGTTTCAAGGGCCATTTTTTGTTATAAACCCTTGAATACGATGCCGTTTGTATCGGCACTTGGCACCTGCTCAAAATCGTATCACAGATGTCATCACCAATGTAACGTGGCATAACTGGTCATTGTGAACACAATGCACCTGGAGCACGATAGTTTGCGATTAATTATAAAATAAATGATCAATTATACTATTTTTTTAAATACTATCTAAACCTTTTTTTTAATTATTTAGGTACATTATGTTATTACTTTAGGTGTTCGTGGCGTAATTTATGTTAAAGGACATATGTCACATTTTAATAATTTTAAAATTTTATTTTTAAAAATTTAAAATATATTATATTTATAAAATAATTATAATTTCTCTTAAATTATAAAACCCTAAATACCTAATATACTTAAATCCCTAACACTAACCCACCAGTGTTGTCCCTGTCGGCCGCCTCCGCCACCATAGTCATTGTCATCTCCTAGTCATACGTCGACATACATGTCGTCGATTGGCAGTTGGGATCTCATGGGTTGTGTTTGCTGCGTAGTTTGTCGAGGTACAAACGTCGATTGGGTGCGATTTCATAGGGCTATCGATCATCAGATGGAGGTGAGATCGGATGGAGCTTCATCGACAACGAAAGACACTGGCCAACATGAGTTTAGGGGTAGAAAATGAGGGTTTTCAAAGTTTTGATTTTTTAGAGTATTTCAAAAAAATTATGTTTTTTAAATATATATTTTTAATTTTTTTAGTTTTAAATACAATTTAAAATTATCGAAACATGACATGTGTCATTTAATAACATAATTTAACGACAATTATGACCCGAGAACTTAATGTAATAACTTTTGTAACATTAGGCACCTAGGTGATTAAAAAAATGGATATCTATTTAAGAAAAATAATATAATTTTGGCATTTATTTTAGTGTTTAGACTTTGAAATTTTCAACCAGCATCCAAAAGAAAAAAAATTTGATACACTTTTACATGCTTAAATTATACTTCAAATTCATTTTTGACGCTTAAAGAATTTTTCGGTAAAAATATATGTCTAAAGTTTTCTCCATTATACTTTCAGGTGTCTACCGTTAAAAAAAGTTGTAACGTGATATGTGTCACGTCCAGATTATTTAAAAAATATTTTTAAATAATATTTTATTTAAAAATAAAAAATATAATGTGCTTAACGGTTTTAACGATAGATAATTAAAATAAAACGCATAAAACATTAGACACCTATTTTTAATGAAAAATGTTGAAAGGCTGGTTAGCATATTAGTTAGGGAGTTAGTTTGTTAGCAACAGTTTAGTGGTTAATTAATGTATATAAATATATTAGTTGACTGTACATAATACAGAATGAAGAGTAAAAATCAATATTGTTTCATATAGCTTTTACTTCATTTTCTTCATTTGTGCTATTATCTTAATGTTGACATGGTATTAGAGTCATCGTCGACAGTTGTTTTTGGTCAATTGTTGTCGATAAGTTGATTTAGTTGTTGTTTTTCTGATCTGGTTTTCTTGTTCTGTACAATCATGGTTCACCGGAGACAACTCAGATCTACTACAATCATCCTCTTTATCTTCATCCTTCGTATACGCTAGGAACGTTGCTCGTTTCTCATCAGCTAACTGAAATGGAAATTTACAATCTATGGAGCAGATCTATACGCATTGCCTTTTAGCCAAAAACAAGATTGGATTCATTGATGGAACTTGTTCTCGTGAATGTCTTTTTCAGATCTTTTGACACAGTGGGAGCATTGCAATGCTGTTGTCATTTCGTGGATTTTGAACACGGTTAGTCAAGAGTTTTTTACAGGGATAGTCTTTGCTTCGAATGCATTGCGTGTTTGGGAAGATCTTAAAGAACGCTTTGAAAAAATTGATGGTTCAGTGTTTTTTTTACACCGGGAAATTGTTTCTCATTCTCAAGGTATGTCTTCTCTTTCGGTTTATATACCCGCTTGCGTTTGCTCTGGGACGAATATGATGCTATGCCCTTTTGCTGTATGCAATTGTGAGGTTTCTCGGCAGAATACTGAACATGTTCATCAACAACGACTTTTTCATTTTTTTATGGGTTTGAATGATTCTTATTCTATGATGCGTAGTCAGATATTGTTGTTAAAACCATTACCTTCTGTAAATCAAGCATATTTTATGCTTGTCAAGAGGAAGGTCAACGTCAAATGCAGGAATGTTAGCTAGTATTCTAGAACCTATTGCACTTTATTCTAGCACTTAGGTCAAGATATGTTTTCCATGGAGTGTGTGACTTTTGTCATATCAAAGGGTATAAGAAGGAAACGTGCTACAAGTTGATTGGTTATCTAGCTGATTACAAGTTTAATAAGCGCAAGGGATCTACTGCTAACAATGTTGTGTTGACTAGTGAAGGAGAATCAACCTCTTCCTTGACTGAAATTTTATTCCTGCTAAGGTTCTACTTTACATTGAACAATATCAGCAAATTCTTGAGTTGTTGGGAAAGGATCCACCTATGCAAGCTGCAGTACATATGGCAGGTATTCGTTTTGTTTCTTTGCATCATGATTGGATTCTAGATACTGGTGCTACGAATCATATGACCTTTGATCTTGAGCAGTTGATTCTTATGTTGGTTGTGACTCCTCTTCGTTCGTTCAACTGCCAAATGGTAAAACCACCCCAAAAACTCATAAAGGAACTTATGTTTTTTTCTCTACTCAAACGTTGACCATGTTTTTGCATGTACCAGATTTTCATTACAATTTATTGTATGTATTGTCGGCTAAACCAAAGAACTTAAGTGTTGCTTAATCTTTTATCCACATTTTTGCCTTATACAAGACCTTTGCAGTGGAGAGATGAAGGGGATTGGTAGATCTCACGACGGTCTTTACATCTAAGTCATCATCTAGCTCGTCAGTTGTCATGTTGTTTCCAGCACAAATTCTTGTTTGTCTTCTACGTTGTTAAATCCTGATAATGGGTACGTGGCATGCACGACTTGGGTACACTTCTTTGAGTACTTTGAATAAAATGTCTCAGTAAATAACAGTTTGTCTAATGTTGATAATGTTAAAAGATACGGTGTTTGTCCACTTGCTAAACAAACTCGTTTACCATTTCCTGTGAGAGATTCTCGTAAGTCTACTGCGTTATTCTATTCACATTGATCTATGGGACGTATCGTATTTCAACGCATAGTGGACATAGGTATTTTTTAACTATTGTTGATGATCATACTATACGATCATGACATGGGTGTTTTTACTTAGACTTAAAAGTGATGCATTTGTTACCCTTAAACAATTTTTTTGCCTAATGTTGACAATCATTTTTATGGTAAAATCAAAACTGTGAGAAGTGATAATGGTACCATTTTAAACACCAAAAATCAATTTAAGATAATTTAGGCACCTTAAAGTGTATTAAACCAAAAAGAAATTAACTTGGTTTAATGATAATTGATCAAGAACCAGCTCATGAGCCAATAGTGTCCAGCTCACTAACCATGAAAGTGGCGTTGAATTGAATTCGAAGCATCGCATAGTGTGTCCGAAAGGGAATTTTTTTCATGTAGCCTAAAATTTAACGTTGCAGTCAATAACTCGAATATTAAAAAAAAATTGAAAGCGAAATTAAATCTAAAATGATTTGAACAGGTATTACTAGAATGTTTTCTAAATTTGATTTAATTAATTACTGTAATGGTAGAAGCAACCAGTTCTGGTACTTCTTCTCGTACAACTTAAGTAATACTTAACACTTGCAGTTTGACAAAAGAACTAAATTTTGCTATCGTTTAGCAATGGCATATCGTTTCTCTAGGTTTTGATCACCCCTAATGTTTTGCTTGAAGGGATACGGGTGCTTAATGCTATCAATTGGAGATGGTGTACTCCGATCGGAATTCTTCGGATCCCCGACACGTCCCGACGCTTAGGAACTTGCACACATGGATGCTGATTCGACTTGCTGTTCTGACCCTGCCGGAACATGCACTTTTGCGAACGCTACCAGCTGTTTATGAGGAGCCCAATGGCCAGCAGGTGGAACCGAAACACTGCATCGTATGAGTACCGTCCTTCGATCCCGTATTCTTCACGTTTACTTGAAGGCCTACTGACAGCTTGTTGCATCTTGCATGATTAACTTTGATTGCCTTGCCTAAAACTGTTGCGTTTCCGTTACGACGGTGGCCGTCTAGAGGGACGGAGACGACGTTGGGTGCACCAACAATGGTATGAACGAAGTTGGTGTAGCTTAATCCGTGGCCAAAAGGGTACAACGGGTCCTTTGTAAACCTATAGCTTCTTCCTGGATAATTTCTCCTCGGGCTCGAACGCATTGCCATGTCTGTCATTGCCAAATTCGAAACATATCTTGTGGGTACCATGTCATAGGCAACTTGCCCCCTGGGTTGGTTGTCCCATACAATACATCGGCTATCGCGGCTCCTCCTGCTTGTCCTGGGTATCCGGCCCATAAATGGCAGCGATACGAGGGTCATTCTTCGCAAAAGAACATCGATAGGCCCACCTGACATTAAAACCATTATGGTTGGACCCCTGGAAGCCATGGCTACTTCAGAAACGAGTCGTTGTTGATGCCCCTGGCAAATGCAACCCTTTCCTGTCCTTGAATTCTGCTCGAGATTGGTCGAGCCCCCATTAAGAATCGTTGCATCAGCTCGGTGCAGCATCGATTGCGGCACCGATAACACTTCATCTCTGCAATGAACATCGGCACATCCGATTTGGTGAATTGTTTTTGCGTACTTTCCTATTCCTTGCAAAGGAGACGTGTATCCACAAGCAACGCCTAAT